GGGTTCAGGCACGCCCTCCTCCCCTCCTCGCCGTCGTCAACGTCGTCGGGCTGGGACTCCTCCTCCTCCTCCTCCTCCTCCTCCACCTCCTCCTCCACCTCCTCCACCTCCTCCCTCCCTGCGCCCCCCTTCCTGCTCGCCCTGCGACCTCGTCCTTCATCCTCCCCCTTCCCTCTCACCTCTTCCTCCTCCTCCACCTCCTCCTCCTTTTTCTTTCTGACGTTGCGCAAACTTCAGGCGGAAGCCTGGAGCGTGCATGTGTGCGGAAAAGAGTGCAGTACGCCGACTTAGGCAAAGAGCAAACTGATTCAGCCTGGCGGGCGCAGCCAAAAAACAACTAAGACAGAGAGACGCGTACCGAGCACATGGCCCAGAGGCCATAGAGCATGGCCCGGAAGGATGGAAGAGCACTGTGACCGAGAAGCCGTCCGCTCTCTCGTCGGCAACGGCGCGCCTCCTCCTCCTCCGCCACTCCGCTCCTCTTCTCTCCTCTCCTCTCCTCTCTTCTCCTCTCCTCTCCGCTCCTCTCCCTTTCCCTTTTCCTCCTCCTCCTCCTCCCTCCTCTCCTCCCCTCCTCCCCTCCTCCCTCCTCCCTCCTCCCTCCTCCCTCCTCCCACCTCCTCGTACTTTTCCTCCTCCTCCTCCGTCTTTCTCCGCATTCCCATCCCCATCCTCCTCCCGTCCTCCCCATCAATCCTGTGCTTTTCCATCCTTCCTCCCCCCGCTATTTTGAAGGGACCCATGGACACACCAACAAATACACACAAAGTCCAGGATCACCCTATATTTTCTTGGTTGCCCCCCCTCCAAGATCATACCTCTCTCTGTTTCTCCGTTCCTTCTCTTCCTCCTTCTCCGTTTCTAGTATTTATCCTTTCACTTTCCTCCTTCCCCAAACACAAGTCCTCCTCCTCGCCCATCATCCTTATCCTCCTTGTCCTTTCCGTTTCCTCCTCTCTGTAGCTACGCGAAACCAAGAATACACAGTGTTTGGCGCCCTCGGAGCAAGGAAACGATGTGTATGTTTGGTGATTCTGGTTCGTCTGATCTTGGATGCCAGGAAACACTGTGTACTTGTTTGGTTTTGAAAGCTCAAGTGCTCCCCGGGGAGGCCCCCAGCACCTCCTCCTTCTCCCCCTTCCTCTTTCCCCTCCTTCTGCTTTCCTTTCCTTTCCTCTTCCTTGTTGCGAAGCAAGAAAGCCAATCATACACTATGTTTGGTGCCCTCGGAGCAAGAAAACGCCGTGTATGTTTAATTATTCTGTTTTTTGTCTACGATGTAAGGAATCACGGTCTTTTTTTTTTGGGGGGGGAAGCTCAAATGCTCCCCGCGGCTTTCCCCCCTAGCGCCTCCTCCACCTCCTTCTCTCCCGGAACTCCAGAACCAACAACAAACACAACATAAAACCAACCACACCGTGTTGCCTTGCATCCCGATTTTTTTTTAAACAAGAAAAACCAAACATGCCAAGCGTTTCCGTGCACCAAGGGCACCAAACACTGTGTATTATTGGTTTTCTTGCTTTGCAGCAAGGAGGAGGAAAGGAAAGGAGGAGAAGGAGGGGGAAAGAGGACGGGGGAGAAGGAGGAGGCGCTGGGGGGGAGGCCGCGGGGAACACTCGAGCTTCCCAAGCAAAAAAAATACAATAACCAAACAAACACGGTGTCTCCTTGCATCCTAGACAAAAAAACAGAACAACCAAACATTCACAGCGTGTCCTTGCTCCGAGGGCACCAAAAACTGTGTAGTATTGGTTTTCTTGCTTTCGAAATGAGGAGGAGGAAAGGAAAAGCGGAGAAGGAGAGGGAACGAGGAAGGGGGAGAAGGAGGAGGCGCTGGGGGGGGAGGCCGCGGGGAGCACTTGAGCTTCCAAAGCAAACAAAAACAACTAACCAACCATACACAATGTTTCCTTGCATCCTAAACCACAAAACCAGAAACATCTAAGACACAGCGGTTCCTTGCTCCGAGGGCGCCAAGCACTTTGTATTCTTGGTTTTGCGTTGCTGCAGGGAGGAGGAAACAGAAAGGAGAAGGAGAAAACAGATGATGGGCGAGAGGGAGGAGGAGGAATTGTTTTTGGAGAAGGAGGAAAGTGAAAGGATAAATATTATAAACGGAGAAGGATGAAGAGGAGAAACGGAGAAGCAGAGAGAGGTAGGATATTGGAGGGAGGGCGACCATTTTCTTGTATTTTCTGGGATATTGTATTCCCCAGCTTCCTATATGTTCCCATATTGTCCTGGGGATCGACGATTGGTTGTGTCTGTGCGTTTTTTCCCCTCCCGCCATTTCCGTCCACACGACGTCCCGCCTCGGAAAAGCGGCAAGAACTGACGCTGACCTCTCCTCCCCCTCTTCCTCCTCCTCCTCCTCCTTCCTCCTCTTCCTCCTCCTCCTCCTCCTCCCTCCTCCTCCTCCTCCCTCCTCCCTCCTCCTCCTCCTTCCTCCTCTTCCTCCTCCTCCCTCCTCCTCCTCCTCCTCCTCCTCCTCCTCCTCCTCCTCCTCCTCCTCCTCCTCCTCCTCCTCCTCCTCCTCCTCCTCCCTCCTCCTCCTCCCCCTCCTTTCCGTCCACACGCCGGCCGTGCCGACATGCCCCCGCGCTCGCCAGCCTGCCGCCCTCCAACCCGCCCCGCCAACCTGGCGCCGGACACTGGAGCGCAGCGGCACTCATCAACACCTGCTCCTCCTCCTGCTCCTGCTCCTCCTCCTCCTCTGCTCCTCCTCCACCTCCTCTTTCTCCTCCTCCTCCTCCACTTTCTCCTCCTCCTCCTCCTTCGCCTCCTCCTCTCCTCTCCTCTGCCCTCCTCCTCCTCTCCTCCTCCTCCTCCCTCCTCCTCCTCCCTCCCCTCCTCTCTCTCCTCCTCCTCCTCCTCTTTCTGCTCCTTCTCCTCCTCCTCCTCCTCCTCCTCCTCCTCCTCCTCCTCCTTCTCCTCCTCCCCCCCCGCGCGCGCGCAATCGCGCCTCCCGCTTCGAGGCGCGGTCGGGCCACAACACCCTGCCCCCCGCCAGTGCGGCGGCGCGCGCGAGGGAGAGAGGCCGTGGCGGGAGGTCGTTGTTGTCGCCGTCGCCGCCACCGCCGCCACCGCCGTCGCCGTCACCGTCGCCGTGTTGTTGTTTTTGTTTTGTTGTTGTTGCTGTTGGTGGTGGTGGTGGTGGTCCTCGTCGTCGTCGTCGGCGTCGCTGCCGCCGTCGCCGCCGTCGTCGTCGTCGTCGCCGTTGTGGTGGTGGTGTTGGTGGAGGTGGAGGTGGTCGTTGTGGTGGTCCTCGTCGTCGTCGTCGTCGTCCTCGTCGTCGTCGTTGGCGTCCTTTTCGTCGCCGCCGCCGTCGTCGTTGTCGTCGTCGTCGTCGGCGTCCTCGTCGGGAGAGGGACAGCTCAGGCAGCTGGAGGTGGTCGTCGCGGGAGGAAGAGTTAGGAGGGGCGGTGAGGAGAAGAAGGGGTGAAGCAGATGGGGGGTGGGGGGTGGGACGGAGGGAGGAGGGGAGGGAGTATCGAATATCAGATGTCGCGGGAATTTCGGTGTGTGTTGTGTCCTTTTCGGGAACCCAAGAAGCCTCCAGAGGGAGGAGGAAGAGGAAGAGTGGGAGGCAGGGGAAGATGCGTCGAGGGAGGACGAGGAGGAGGAGGAGGAGGCGGAAGATGAGGAGAAGAAAGGTGGGGAGGAGGATGACGAAGAGGGATGGGGGTGGAGGATGATGGGACGGAGGCGGGGGAAGAAAGAGGAATATGGGAAGAGGGAGGTGACGAATGGGGGGAGAAGGAGGAGACGGAGGGTGGAAACAGTGATGGAAAATGACATGTATGATGAGATGGAGACTGGGGAGGAACGTCGAGAGACGATGATCAAACGTACTTGGTGGGTTCTTTTACCCTACCTGGGTATCCGGAGGCCTCCAGAAGGAGAAGGGGGACACCGAGAGAAAAAGAAAAAGAGAGAGAAAGGGACAATGAGAGAAAGAGAGAGAGAGAGAGAGATAAAGAGAGAGAGAGAGACAGAGAGTGATACAACATGCATACAGAACTATAGAGATGTAGGCATAGGTATTCATGTACACAGTCGACATATGTACACATTGTTTAAAGATAATTCGGAATCGAGGGAGGGAACGAGATGGAATGAGAGAGCGATATCGGTAGATGGAACGAGAGAGGAGAGACACATAAGGACAAATACATATATCCACAATGGAGGAGACGGAAGACATGAGGGATGGGGGCGGCATGGTGGAAAAGGGGGCCAGGACACCACATACATGAGCAGGATGATGATGGTGCTGATGATGAGAATGGTACTGGTGATGCTGATACTGGTGATGATACTGATCATCATACTGATGTTAATGATGCTGATGATGATGTTGCTGATGAGGAGGAAGAGAAGGAGGCGGCGGAGAAGGAAAGACAATGGAGGGGTCCGCACTGAAATCAGGAGACGGTGCGCGGCCTCTGAATGGTCTGTCGCGCCTTGCACAGATAGCTGAGTTCGGCTGTGTCTGGCGCCAGCAACGCTATGATGGGCGGCTCGGAGGAGGAGTCGGAGGCGGAGGCGAAGCAGGAGGAGAATGAGGAGGAGGAGGAGGCGGGAGGAGGAGGAGGAGGCGGGAGGAGGAGGAGGAGGGAGGAGGAGGAGGAGGAGGAGGTGGAGGAGGAGGAGGAGGAGGAGGAGGAGGAGGAGGCTCTCCCCCTGCATCTTTCTCGCGAGAAGGGCGAGGGGCAGCTGGCTCCGCGGGCCCCTCGGGGCGCCGACCTGCAGGGGCTCCTGTATGCTGCGGGGCCTCACCACCGTTCGGGTACGCTCCCGGGCAGTCCACCCGAGGGCACCTGGAGCTGGCGTCTCGGGTTGACCCAAACGGGGGCCAGCGACAAGGGAGTGGTGCAATAGCTTCGGTGCAATAGATTTGTGGGGTTGCAACACATTCGGGGCGTGCAATACCTCTCGGGGCGCAGATGTGTTGCCGGATGGTCGCGTGCCATGCATGACTTGCAATGCGGTGCAATCCAATTCTCCGGCGCAGTACATTTGCAATACAATTGCCCCAACTCTATTGCACCACCCCCTTTTAACTGGACCCCCTTGTGGGTCACCCAAAGACTCGCTGACTGTGCCGCATCTGCGACGCACTGAGATGCTGCAGAACACAATCTCGTCGGCGCAGCCGCAAACAACATTTCGTGCCCCATTACACGGGAAATCAAAACCGATCGATGAAAGTAAGATGAGGTCGGGCCTGTCCCCCTACAGGGGATTTTGGAGGAAAAAGAAAACATACTCAAAACATACTCGAACATGGTCAACAAATTCTAAAAACATCGTCCTCAGACTATTTTGAACCAATTCTGAATATGTTTCCGACTAAAAACAAGAACCTGGGCGCGCTTCCTGCTCTGGAACGGGGGGGGTCTGGCTCTGAACCTCTGCTTAGTGCGGCTGTTTGCGACGGTGCGTCCTATGCGGGGGGACTACACCTGCTCGAAACATGCGCCAAACACAGCCAAGATCTCCCGCGCCGATCGGCAAAACAATGGATCTGAAAAATATCACAACTCGATCGATGAGGATAAGAACCTGGGCACGCTTCCTGCGCCCTCTCAACCGGGCGGCGCCGCCTCCCGTCACCTGCGCGGCAGGCTGCGCATGCCCTGCGCTGGCGGCGCTTCGGCCGCTGCCCCGCCCCCCCCCCCCGCTGCCCTGAGGATTCTCCCGGGGAGGGGGGGGGGCAGCCTCCTCAGAGGGGGGCAGCCTCCTCAGAGAGGGGGGCAGCCTCCTCAGAGGGGGGCAGCCTCCTCAGAGGGGGGCAGCCTCCTCAAGCGGGGGGCCTCCTCAGAGGGGGGGGCCCTGCTGCTGCCGCCCCTGCGGGCGGGCCCAGCAAGACTCCTCGGGCCCGTCCGGGCCCTTCCTGCCCGCGGGCGGGGCGACTGTGGGCCGCAGCTGGGCCTCGGCTCCGGCCTGCTCCGTTCTGGCTGGCGGCGGCCCTGGCTTCGCTGCCAGCAGCATCGCTGCTTTGTAGCATGCGGCCATACGGTGCAGCCCTGCGCGACGCTGTCCATACCTGCACGAGCTTTGGTGTTGTACAGTCGGGGGCTTGATCTAAGGAGCCCAAAACAAGGAACGAGGCCCCTTTTTCCCATGAGTTAAACTTCGATTTCCGATCGAAAACATTAGGAAAACCTGAGGCAAGCTGCGAAACACTTAAGGAACGCGGAGCCCCTCCCCAACGAAAAGGGTTCCTTCTTCAGGGCCCCGACTGCACCTCGGCTTCGGCCTGCTCCGTCCTGGCTGGCGGCGGCCTTGGCTTTCCTGCCAGCAGCATCGCTGCCTGTGGCATGCCGCCATTCGGTGCAGCCCTGCTCGAGGCCGTCCATGCCTACACGAGCTTTGGTTTCGTAGGTCCTGGGGCCGATCCGATCATTGGCAGGCCCAGTGAGCACCTGGAAGGCGCCGTAAAAGTCGGTCCGAACAAAACGAAGCTTCCTGTGGAGATCTATGTCTGCTTGGTTGTCCGCATGTGCCCGGGCGCCCGTGGCCGGGGCGGAGACCGGCAGCGATCGCGCCGCAGTGCCAGGGGGGAGAACGAGAGAGGGGTCCGCCCCGACACGCCCAATCATACAGACAAAAACATCCCCGTGACGATATTAGGCCACCGCGGCCAGCCCTGCCATATTATGTATACACGTATGTATGCATGTATGCTGTATGCATGTATGTCTGTCTGTCTGTCTGTCTGTATGTAAATATGTCTGTACGCATGTGAGAAAACTGTTGAATGGTCGATCCATAATATCATATCATATATATATACAGATGTGCCCACCAGGCTTAAAAGTAGGATCTATCGGCATGCGCGTCGCCTGAAAAAGCTTGCAGCGGAGTCGTCGAGCTGTCTTGGCACCAAACCTTAAACAGCTCGCGGTTGTGTCCTGCTGGTGCTCCATCGTCGTACTCAAGGCAAAACTGAAACCGAAACCGCACGAGAGATGGCGTGAGATGCTCGAGCTGTTCAAGATCATGCAAAGTGAACCTCTGTCGAAGCTGGGCTGACTTCGGGCGCTGCAGCAGCCCATGTCAGATGCTGTCGTTGCCGCATCCGCATCTGGCGGCGCGCATCCACCCGATGTCCCGCGGTTACAAATTTGGCGTGTCCCAACGCACTAGTTTAAAGCAGTAACGAAGGTGGAGCGAGCCTTCTTGTCCAGATGCTCATCGGCGATGAGCCTTCGAGTAAATGGTAAAACTAAAACCTCATCTGCATGGCTGGGTTTCCTGGCTGCGCGCCCCCACTTTCTTCGGTCCCCGGGCTTCCTGGATTCTCTGGGCTGCGAATTTCGGGGCGCGGGGGGCGGGGGCAACGTCAGATCCCCAGGCATCCAGATAAACAAAAAACGAAACCAAATGTCATGGCATCCTCTTGAGGGCGAGCTTGCGGCGCCCAAAGGGGCTTTCATAGCTCGCAAGGTGGTCGGGCCTTGAGTTAGAACTGGCTCCTCTGAGCTGTTCATATTTCGAAGGTCAGATGAGGGCGCTGGCTGGACGCGCGTGCTGCAAACCATTGTGGGCCAGGCAAGCGCTGGTCCGAAGGCTGCTTGCTCTCCGCGTCGGATCTCCTAGCGCTGCTGGAGCTCATGGTTTCCTTCTTGTTGCGCACCTGGGCCCTGCTGCCTTGAGATATTCTGTTTGCGGGGCATGCGATTCCTTTGGGTCGACGCCGGCAACCTCCACCCCGTGGGCAAGCCCCTGCTGGGGCCCCGTCTTCCAGAGTTCCCCTGCGCCTCCTCCTGTCACTTTGACCTGAGAAAGCATTGCGCTGATTCGGGCCCCCGACGCAGCATGAATAGCATCTGCGCCGAGGCCGGCGGCCGCGCGGGCGCTCTCGGGGCCGGCGCATTCCCCGATGACTTTCCGAACGTTCGTCCTAATCTGAAGGTTCGACACAATGGCTTGAGCTTCGCGCGCGGCGAACTGGCGCCCCAAGTCCTCGAGTAAAACTATTGCTAGCCTGCTCGCCGAAGGTTGGAGCTTACTGACTAGGAGCCTTCTGACATTGCTCCCGCGGCCGGCCGAGCGGCCGCCGTCGTTGTGCTTGTGGGTGCCGTTTGCAGGAGGCCGCCGCCGCGCCAGCTGGTCTGCTCGCGCCTTGGCGTGCCAGGCAGCGCCCGCCGGGCCCAGTGACCTGCCCGAGCTTGTGTATTTCACCGGCCCTGGTAGCAGCTGGGTGTGCGCCAGCGGCGGCACCGTCGCGCGCTGGGCCGCAATGCGGGCCAGCGCCAACGCGGCGGGTGGAGATGCCACCCGCCCCGGAGAATGGTGCCAGAGGAAGCTGTAGGTGCGGTACAACGTAGCCAACTGGGCCACGGTCCGCGGCAAGCTGTTCTCCGTGATCTCGGCCCGTGACCAGCGGCCATGCTCCTCCGCGTCGCCGAAACCGAGGCGGTGAAAAACAGAGCCGTGCGCTGAGGCTCGAGCGTGGACACAGACGCTGCAAGGCGAGCCGCGGCAGTCACACAAGTAGTGGCTGATCTCGCCAGCTCCTCCTTCGGACCCCCATCGGCGGCCCAGGCGGGGCTGGCCGGCCCAGCAGGCTCCGGGCGCTGCGAGCGCCATCTGGCGTCGGAACACCCCCCCATCGCTGATTCAGGTCGCCCGGGGAGGGGTGCTGCGGCCACCGTGCGCGGAAGCGGCGCTCGATGGGTTTTTTTGACCTCAACAAATTCTCCCCTACATCCTGGGACACCTCCACGAGCGCCACGTAGACGACCGGATGAGCCAGAGCACCGCCGCGAGCGCCACAACGATCGCGAGGAGCCCGAGGAAGATCGAAAACAGCACGGGGGGACGTGCTGCCATGAAACGGCGCTCGAAAGTCTTGGGTACAGGCTCTGGGAGGCCCCGCGCGCGTGGGCACACTGCACGCGCGCGCGGCGGCCCGCAGCGGCACCCACGCGGAGATCCTCCGTCGCCGCTGGACTTCCTGCAGCGAGGGCCCGTTGGCGCCGTCGGCGGAGCCACGCGCTGGGCGCGCCGATTTTGGCGGCGGCCACAGAGAGCAGGAACTGGGCCATTGACCACCCCGGGGTCCAAAACCAGGCGGCCAATTGCCCTTCCAACACAGCGCGTGCTGGTCGGACATCGAAGGCGCGCTCCCGCCATGCTTCCGCAAGATCGCGCCACCCACGAAGAGTGACTTGTGACGTCCTCCAGGCCGCAACCCACGTGTCACGCAGCAGCGCCTTCAACGGGGAGGAGAAGGAGGAGGAGGAGGAGGAGGAGAAGGAGGAGGAGGAGGAGGAGGAGGAGCAGGTGGATTGCGGAGTATGGCGAGGAGGAGGAGGAGGAGGAGGAGGAGGAGGAGGAGGACGAGGAGGAAGAGGAGGAGGAGGAGGAGGAGGAGGAGGAGGAGGAAGGAGGTGAAGAGGAGGGGGAGGACACGAGAGCAGAAACACCTGCTTTAAGCGGGGGCAGGACGGGGGAGAGAGCCCCGACGACGACAACGGAGGATGGCGAGGACGACGGCGAGGACGCCGACGAGGGCGACGATGACGACGACGGACGGCGCCCGAGCGCCCCGCCGTGCACTGCGCGCGACGTCCGCGTCGAACAGGCCCTGCTCGGTGGTGAAGAGCTCGGTGCCCAGGAGCCTGCGGCCGCAAGGCTCTCGGGGGGGGAGGGCGGGCGGGGGCCGAGGCGCGGGGATGGGCAGCGTGGGGCAGCGATGCGGCCATCGGGCAAGGGCCGCACCGCGACCTCAGGCACAGCGCGAAACGCCGCTTGGCCTGTCGCCCCGCTCCCGAGGGCAAGTGCGCTCCATCACTCGCAGGCGAACTGCTCGCAGATGGCTCGGATCCGCCGGGGGCGGTCTGCGATCCACCACAACGGAGCAGACACTTGTTTTCGGGACCTTGTCTGCGAGTAGGCACTTTGCGAGTAGTGGCACGCGCTCGGTGACTTAGGAATCCTTCCTGCACGGTTTCCCCCCCGGGGCCGTAGGCGACCCGAGGAGGAGGAGGAGGAGGAGGAGGAGGAGGAGGAGGAGGAGGAGGAGGTGCGCGACTCCAGAAGGAGGAGGAGAAGAGGGAGGCCCACAACAACTATCCCTCCTCGATGGCACTCGTGGCTGCGAGCCGGCTGGCCCGCTCCGCGGCCAGCCGCTGCGCCTCGCGGCCAAGCTCTGCAGCCTGGCCGCGTGTGCGAAATCCGAATGCCAGTAAGGCGTCGCTCAATGCCACTCTTGGGCATGGCGCGCCCCACCGAACAGGAGGGCCTAGCGGAGGCTCGGCGGTGCGGGCCACGGGGCCCTCTGCGGCGCCTTCCAATCCTAAATGGCTGGTCCAGGACGCCCGTACCGCCTCCGACGGGCTGCATGCCTCGTCGATGGCCGCACCCCAGGCCCAGTGGGGGCTGCATCCCACGGCCGACGCGGCTGCGTGCATTCTTTGCTCTCGGAGGTGGCTCACCGTACCTGGGCGGACAGAGCGCTGGCCCCGACCAGGGCACGTGGCGTGACTCCAACAAGTCGTGCAAACTAGCATTGATGAGGACGCGAAGAGTAGGAGGAGGAGGAGGAGGAGGAGGAGGAGGAGGAGGAGGAGGAGGGGGAGGAGGAGGAGGAGGAGGAGGAGGAGGAGGAGGAGGGAGGAGGAGGAGGAGGAGGAGGAGGAGGAGGAGGAGGAGGAGGGAGGGAGGGAGGAGGACAGGAGGAGAAGGGGGAGGGGGGAGGCGGAGGAAGGGGGAGGGGGAGGCGAAGGAGGAGGAGGAGGAGGAGGGAGGCGGAGGCGGAGGAGGAGGAGGAGGAGGAGGAGGAGGAGGAGGAGGAGGAGGAGGAGGACGGGTCGCCTAAGCCCTTCGGAGAAACCCTCCTCGTCGGCCCTCATCCCCGCGACGGCCGACGGCCACCACGGAGCGGGGCCGAGGCCCAGCCGCAGCGCAGCAGCGCCCCCCTACGGGCGGACCGCGCCTGCCGCTGGCGCGGGGGGCCGAGTCGCGGGGGGGGGGCGATGGGCCAACGATTAGGTCAGGGATGTTCCCCTACAGGCGGAGTCTGGGCGACAAATAAAACATACTCAACACGTATTCAAAACATGCTCAAAAATACGTAAACATCGTCCCCGGACTATGGTTTGTCTATTGTTAAATATTCGTCATGTAGAGGGAAGCGCCCGCCTTAAGGCAATGCTCAAGCTAGGTGAGCTCGCGCGACATCTGACATTCGACCCTTAGGTCGGGCATGTTCCCACACAGGCGCATTTTGGGCGACAGATAAAACTAGACAAATGCTTGAAACTGGCCAACGATGGTCGACACATCGTCCCCAAACTATTTCTGGACTATTTCTGAATGCTCCTCCTTTCGAGGGACAGGCACCACCTAAAGCTGGGTGAGCTCGCGCCACACCTGAGATCCTACCCCCCCGCACCCATCCCTTCCCCTTGCGCTGTTTGCTCTCCGCCCGCCGACGCGCGACACGGCGGGCCTAGAAACTTCGAACGCCAACGAGGACCCCATGGTGTTATGCGCAGGCGGGCCACAAGGGAGCTGCGTACACTGGAGGAGGTGGCGGAGGAGCAGGAGGATGAGCAGGAGGGAGCGGAGGATGAGCGAGGTGCACTGCTACAACCATCAGGCTACGATGGGCACTGCCGAGTAAAATCGGGGATCCTCCGACCCGAGTCAATCCAGGCCCGGTCGGTCAGGCCCTGCAGAATCCTGCCAGATCCTGCACCCAAGCCCGGGTCAACGCGAAAGATCCTGCAACATCCTGCAGGATCCTGCGCCCAAGCCCGGGTCAATGCGACCCTGGCCCTGCAGGATCCTGCGAGATCGGGCGCCCTGGCTGACCCCCGTTTGCACTGACCCCCGTTTCAGTCGGCGGTGGACAAACCTCCAGTTAGTAAACCTCTCTTTATTTACAACGGCCTGGGACCGAAACCCACGGACCTGGACCCGCAAAAATCGCGGCCGCGACGCCCTCTCGCGAACCGAAAACGGCCAGTTCGCTAATCGACGCGTCAGGGTAGGAGGTCTGTCCACCCCCGTTTGCACTGACCCCCGCCTCCAGGCTCCCGAACAAGAGCGGATGGGGCTCTTCTGACCACCGGCTCCGAGGCGCAGCCCCCGAGCCAGACCATGCGGCGCTGCCCGGCAACCGGGGCCCCTCCTCCGGAGCCTGGCGGGGCCCCACACACAGCGGCGTCTCGGCTGCCGATGGTGACTGGCTCACGGAGGGAGAGACACCAACCTGGGATCTGAGGGGCCCGAGGGCACGCCAAGAAGCAGACACAAATCCCAGGGTTCCCTACATTTTCTTGCATTTTCTGAGAGTGTTCGTCTTCCCCCCCCCGACTTCCCATAGCTGTTTCCCACCTTTTCCTGGGAGTCGACGGAGGGAGAGACATCAACCTTGGATCTGAGGGGCCCAAGGACACACAAAGAAGAAGACACACATCCCAGGAGTGCCCACATTTTCTGGTATCTCCTGGGGGCTTCCGTCTTCCCCCCCACTTGCCATAGTGTCCCTCCCACCAATTTTCATGGAAATCGACGATGAATCGTGTTTGTGTGTCTTTCCCCTCCTGAAGAACCTCGACCTGGGATCGGCCATCCAGCGCCAAGAGAGCGGCCCCATGGCCCCCGAAGAGAAGCGAAGCCGAGCGCTCCTGGGGCCGGGTGGGCCATCGGGCCCCTGTTGATCCTTGGCGATCCCTGGGCGATTGGGGGGCGATGCCTCTCCCCCTGCGCCTATCCCTTCCCTCCCCCCCCCCCTACAGTCAAAAGCCCTAATGAGGACGCGCGGTAAGGACGCAAGACCCTTGGAAGCCGAAGTTGGGATTTCTGGGGCGGCGGACGACGAAAATCTCAAGGACGCAAGAGCAAGGAAGAGCAAGGACGCAAGGGTACCCTGAGCAAAATCGCGCGTCCTTATTAGGGTTTTTGACTCTAGCGTTGTCCCTGAAAGGGATGGGGGGGCGGGGAGGGAGTGTGTGCTCTCCCTGCATGCTGGGCCCGACGGGCCCGAACCCCCACCCCCCCACAGCGTCAGCGGAGGGCCTGGGGCTACGCCACGAAAAGATTTGTACAGGGCAGTTTTTAAGACATAGGATGTTTTAAACTCACAGGATTTTTAATACATGCTTAATGTATGAATAAATAAATGCATAAACTCATCCTTGTATTTATTAATCAACCCTTTATTTTTGATACATCGTCCGCACGCGGAGCATGTATTAAAAACGGCACTGTACACAGACGCACTCGGACGAATTCATTTTGCATGTGCCTTCAGTGAGGGTGGCGGTGCTCAACATCGCTGGCTCCCAGCGGTGCTTTCTGCACCGCCACCCTCCCCCCGAGGCCCAGGAGTCATGAATCGGAGGGCGTCTGGGTATCCATTTCCGTGGCGGAGGGGTTGACCTGACCGCCCCAGGGCCCCCCCCTTCGGTGGCAACTCAAGAGAGCCTCCCGTGCCATCTTGTCGGGTCCTGCGGGTCGACGCTAAACCCACGCTGATGGGCGCTGAATCGACGCTCATCGACGCTCAATGGGCCCTATCTCTGCGAGGCCAGGGAGTCATGAACCAGAGGGCGTCTGGGCGAACTCGGGCTGGGCGAAAGGGGCGGGGGATAGCAAAGGGGGGGGGGTGAGAATCAGCTCACGTAGCTGGTTTTCCCGGCGCCTCCCGGCGCCGGGAGGCGCCCATGCATCGAGGAATGGGCCCAGCGGCGGGGCCGAAACCGGCTGCATGCAGCAGATTTCGTAATGCGGGATGACGATTAATAAAAAAATGGGAGAGATGGATTAAACAAATAGTTTTCTGCTGTTTCTGCAAATTTTCTGACTGCAGGAGATCGATATAGTGTTCCAGCCCGCGGCCGAATTTTTCTAATCGTCATCCCGGCGCCGCCGCGTGCACACGACCCCCATTCATTTATGAATCGTCATCCTCCATTAACCCCCCCTCCCCCTATCCCAAAACAGGGCTAGGATCGGGACAAATCGCTCCAGAGCGTTCCGGAGCGCTCTCAGAGCGTTCCAGAACGCTCTGGAGCGGCCGCGGCGTCCAGTACATCCTCCCAAACCCGCCGACTCTCAGAGATTTCGAGTTCTCCCGATCCGATTCTGTCCAGCTCTTCGCGTCGCTTTACCTATCCCCCCCTGTCGTTCGGCCCGACGAGCGGCCCCCTCCGAGCGCCCTCCGCGGGGCGCCCGGCTCGTCGGGCCACGAGCTCCGCCGGGAGGCAGCGGCGCGCCGAGCACACCCCTCGCGCTCCGGGCGAGGCGCCCGGGTTCGCCTGCAGTCGGGGCGTTGACCTGAGGAACCCTAAATAAGGAACGAGGCCCCTCTTTTCCAGAAGTGAAGCTTCGATTTCCCATACAAAAGCCCAAGGGGAACCCGAGGCAAACCGTAAAACAATCAGGGAACACCGAGCCCCTCCCCAACGAAAAGCGTTCCTTCTTCAGGGCCCCGACTGTATAGCCCCACCAAAGAATGTTCTGAGAACCTTTTTATGGTCTGTACAACATGTTCTTGGAACATTTCTGTCTGAGCACTGCCCTGTTTCAACCCATCGTCTTTATTGTTCTGAGAGCATTGTTTCTGTTCGTGGAAGAATTTTGGGTTCTACAAAAATGTCGTGATAGGCCTATCGGAATGCCGAGACGGTCGGTCCCTGCTCAAGACCCGCTCCGCGCTGGCGCCTCCGCGCCTAGGCTCGAGGCCTCCCAGATGGGGTCGGAGGATCGCGCCGCATCGCCGATGCATCGCCGATGAATCGCCGATGCGGCTCGATGCGGAGCCCGACTTGCTTTGCGCCGACGTTGCCGAAGCACCGCCGACGTCGACGATGCATCGATGGTGCATCGCCGATGCATCGCCGATGTATCGGCGATGCGGCGCGATCCTCCGACTTCATCTATTCCGACCCCATCTAGAAGGCTGGTGTGCTCGGCATCGCTCGGACGTGTGCATGTTTTGCCGGCGAAGGCCATTGAAGCACAGACATGATCGCGTCGTAAATAAATCAGGACGGGCGGTGTTTGGCCAATTCCGGCCTCGGGGGGCCCTCGCCAGGCCTCGGGACTCGTCCTCGTACTCCCCCTCATCCTCGCTCCTCCGCCTCCTTCTCCTCCTCCTCCTCGGGCAGCGCCTGAAGAACTCCCGCGCCAGGCCGCCTTCGTCGACCCCCTGCTCGCCCTCGAAGACGATCTTCAGCTGCCTGTCTGGCCAGGTAGGTTGGAATTGGGTTTCGAGTCCCTTGGTGCAGTCCTAACAAACCTTACGCTGACCCCTTCTGGGCCTTGCGAGCTAATTCTACTTTGCTGTAGCCCTGGGGCCACATCAGAGGACTACGAGGAGGAGAAGCGAGGCAGACGAGGAAGAGGAGGAGGAGGAAGAGGAGGAGGAGGAGGCGGAGGAGGAGGAGGCAAAGGAGGAGGAGGAGGAGGAGGAGGAGGAGGAGGAGGAGGAAGAGCGAAGAGGAGGATGATGATGATGATGAGGAGCGAGGAGGAGGAGGTGGAGGACTGCCCCCCCGCGCTGCCGAGGGAGATAGGGGAGGAGGCCTGCCCCACCCCCTGCACTGCCGACGAGGGACTGAGGCGGCGGAGGTCGCGGGGGAACGCGACGGGGAAGGCAGCGACGGCGGGGGAAGAGCCGAGGGGAGCTCCCACATCCTCTGATTGGCCCCGCTGCTCCCATATCCTTACCCTCTCGCACTCTGTGGGCCTCAAGATGGCTATCAGGATGGTGTGGTGGCCTCCTCTTTCTCCTCCTACCCCTCCCCCTCCTACTCCTGCTCCGCCTCTCCTCCTCCTCCTCCTCCTCCTCCTTCTCCTCCTCCTCCTCCTCATCCCCCTCTTCGGAAACGGCCCCCGTGCAGAATGTGACCGCCAAGGTAATGGTGGGTTACTGCGTCTACGGAAAGGACACCTGCTGCGGCTGAGTGGCCCCGCCGCTCCAGCCCACCTCCCCTCTTGCCTTGGTGGCCTCAGGATTGATTATGGAGCTCCCCACAAGGGGGAAGGGAGGAGGAGGAGGAGGAGGAGGAGAAGAAGGGAGGAGGGGAGGAGGAGGAGGAGGAGGAGGAGGAGTAGAGAGGAGTAGGAGGAGGAGAGAAGACGGAGGGGAGGAGGGGGAGGGGGAGGGGGAGGAGGAGGAGAGGAGGAGGAGGAGGAGGGAGGAGGAGGAGGAGAGGAGGAGGAGGAGGAGGAGGAGGAGAAGGAGGAGGAGAGGAGGGGGAGGAGGAGAGGAGGAGGAGGAGGAGGAGGAGGAGGAGGAGGAGGAGGAGGAGGAGGAGGAGGAGGAGGAGGAGGGGAGGAGGAGGAGAGGGAGAGAGGAGGAGGAGGAGAAGAAGGGAGGAGGAGGAGGAGGAGGGGAGGAGGAGGAGGAAGGAGAGGAGGAGAGGAGGAGGAGGGGAGGAGGAGGAGGAGGAGCGAGGAGAGGAGGAGGAGAGGAGGAGGAGAAGGGAGGTATGAGGAGGAGGAGGAGAAGGAGAAGGAGGAGGAGGAGGAGGGGGAGGAGGGGGGGCCCCCCCTCCCCTCCCCCCCCTCGGACAGGACGCGCCCTGGCCCCGACCGCCCGCGGCGCGGGCATCATTTGCGCGGGCCGAGGCGCAGAGGGCCGACGCCGCTGCGAGAGAAAGAGAGATCGAGGGAGGGAGTGGAGGAGGCGGGCTCGGAGGGGAATCTGGCGAGGGGCGTGTCTGGGGAAGGGGGGGAGAGTTGGCGGCGAGCGCGGGGGCGGGGGGGGGGGAACGAGAAGGGGCGGCGGGCCTTCTCGGGGGGCTCGGAAGCCCCCCGGCCTTTCTGAACAGTTGTCCGAGCCCTCCCCGAAGACACAACAGACCTCCCAGAGGGCGCGACGGCTTCTGAGAAGTCCCGCCGCCTTCTGAGAAGGCCTTCTCCTTCTCGCTTCACCCCCTCGCTCGCCGCCGAGAGGAGGGGCCGCGAAGTCAGAAGCGAGCGACTCGGCCGCATGCTGCCTCTGCAGGACCAGCGGGGGCTCCACGTCAGTGCAGCGGCGAGCTGCAGAAGCTGAGTCTTGAGCACCAGAGCTGTGGCAGCTTGTGACGAGGTGGGGACACGGAGAAGGCGGGCAGTAGGAAGAGGGAGAAGAAGACCAACACCTATACGCATACTCCAGATTTCGTAATAAAGGGAGGGGGGTCTCATTTCGGGGGGGGGTCTCTTCCAGGCTATCTTGGAGGGCCTGGGGGGGTCTGGGGACGACGTTTTGGAGGGTTCTCCCACGGGGGGGGGGTCTGAAATGGCTTGTCTTGGAGGGTCCAGACCCCCTCCCTTTTACTACGAGATCTGGAGTAGGGCAAGCGAGCGAGAAGAGCAGACCTGCGAAACGAAAGCGTCGCTGTCGTCATCGACGTCGTCGTCGTCGTCGTGGCCATTGTCGTCGTCGTCGTCGCAGGATGTCGCCGTCGGCGAGGATCGGCGTCGCAAGCGCCAGCCGCCTCCGCAGGTCGTCCGGGTTGGCGGCCTGGAGCCTCTCGGCGGTGTCCTGCGGCGCGACCAGGGCCGGATCGGCACGGGGGGGGGAGGGGCGCTGAGGTCGGCTGCTCTGCAATCCGAGGCTGTCGACAATCGGCGGTGCTCCCCTTCGTGAAAACGGGCTGGGACCGATACCGACGGACCTGGACCCGCAAAAATGACGGCCGCGACGCCCTCTCGCGAACCGAAAACGGCCACTTCCTTAATCGACGCGTCAGGGTAAGAGGTCTGTCCACCCCCGAGACAAGCGAGACCCCGACCCCTCGAGTCGTGAAACCACATCGTGGCTTTTTGCATGATTTTCGGCCTCCAGGGGGCCATCACTGGGCCCCCGGAACGTCGACGGAGCGTCTCGGATGGCAACACCGTTCCTCAGGAAGGCGATACAGACCTTTGGGGGTCCACGTCATGAACACACACATCAATGACGCCAGATGTCTGGGGATGAGTGCGGGAAAAAGTGGGCACCATGCCCAGCAACGAGCGTTGTTCAAAATCGGCAGGCACCGCCGCTGGACAACGTCCGCGGCGACACCGCCAGCGAGCCCTTCTCAGAAGGGAAAGGAACTGCTCTCAGTCTTCGTCACCGTCCTGTGCCAATTTCGATCCTCCAGAAACGCCGGTGGGGAAAGTGGGAGGAAAACAAACCTACCTCGCTTTTGACCACCCTCGCTTCCAAGAGATACCAAACGATGCCAAACTACGGCCTGTACTGGTCAGGCCGCTTGACGAGGAGGCGCGTGGTATGGCTTGGTTTTGCCTGGAAGCGAAAGCGGGGTAGGTAATTTACGCTCTGCGAAAGGGAACACATATTTCCGCGGCATTTCTCGGGCCCGCTCGGTCCGGGAAGGGAGCCCGGGCCCCGACGCCTGGCGAAGGCGCCTGGTGCAAACAAGATGCGAAGCCCAGGTCCCGGGGGATACCGCCGATTCCTCCGCCTCGGGCGCGCTGGGCAACGCGAGAGGCTCGTCTGTACCAACCTCAGCCCCCACGTACTACCCTGGCGCCAGCGCTCTGCACGCTCTCGTCCAACGAGGTGCAAGAGGGATGAGGGAGGACGGAGGACGACGGAGGACGAGGAGGAGGGAGGAGGAGGAGGAGGGAGGAGGAGAAAGAGAAGGAGGGAGGAGGAGGAGGAGGAGGAGGAGGAGGAGGAGGAGGAGGAGGAGGAGGAGGAGGAGGAGGAGGAGGAGGAGGAGGAGGAGGAGGAGGAGGAGGAGGAGGAGGATAGGGGGAGGAGGGGAGGAGGATGGAGGACGAGGAGGAGGGAGAAGGAAGAGGAGGAGGAGGTGAATCGGGCTTCGAGATCGAGGATCTTAGACATGTTCGCGCTTTGCGGGCCTCCAGGGGATTCCTCGCTGGCGCGGCTGGATTCCCTCGAGATCCTGGTCACAGTGGACTCCTGGATCGGTTCGGGTGAACATCTGTTAGCAGGACGGAGGTACAGGAGGAGGAGGAGGAGGAGGAGGAGGAGTAGGAGGAGGAAGAGGAGGAGGAGGAGGAGGAGGAGGAGGACCAGTGCAAACCCAAGAAACTTCAACGATGCTGGAATAGACCCTGCCTCCAAGCTCCAATGTCTTAGGCCCCTGCAAAGAGTCACTTCCACTGAGGGAAATGCCACGTTAGGAGACAACTGTTCTGAAGATCCTGAAGCGTGCCAAAACACATTCCTCATGCTTTCAACGCCACGAGTCAACTTGATTGTTGCGTCTTGACGATCCTGCCTGAATCGCGTCAGAATCCAATTCCTGGGACTTCAACGCCGCGAATCAACGTAACTTCTACGCCCTGACAATCCTGAATCGTTCCACAACACCAATTCTGAAACGGTACCTATAAACCATGCATGAAACTACTGTGCGCGGCTCCAAAGGGAGAACCACATCTTGAAAAAGAACCGCTCTCAATCCGTGAAGCGCTTGCGTTTTGTTTAAACGAATGTGCGCGGCGCTGAAACGATAACCCCATTCTGAAAACGAGCCACCCTCAGTCCGTGAAGCTCTTGTAGCGATAACGGATGTGTTTGGCGCCAAAGAAATAATCAAATCGTGAACATCACTTGCCCTCAATCCGTGAAGCGGTTGCAATTAGTTGCAACTAGAGCTCGGGGCGCTAAAATGATATCCACATGTTGAAAGAGAACTGTCGTCAGTCCATGACGTTTGCAAAACAAACTTTTGAAACGAATGTGCGCGGTGCTAAAGCGAGAGACACCTTTTGGAAGCGGCCCGCCCTCAATCTCTGTAACCTTTGCCAGCTTTTACGCTTGAGGCTCGTAAAAGGAATTATCCTGGCGAAGGACCCAACCATATGCAAACGTGAATACCGCAGGGCAGGTGGGACGAAGCAAAAGGAATTCCCAATGTGGCCACGAACCATGTGAGGGGTGCGCCACACTGGGGCGGGGCCGCCATGCGAACCCTGCCACTGAGGCCTTCGGTGGAGCTCCCTATGTCCCTGCGGGGCCACGAACCGTGTGAGGGGTGCGCCAATATGGGGCGGGGCCGCCATGCGAACCCTGCCACTGGGGCCTTCGGTGGAGCTCCCTATGGGGCCACGAACCGTGTGAGGGGTGCGCCAAAATGAGGCGGGGCCGCCATGCGAACCCTGCCACTGGGGCCTTCGGTGGAGCTCCCTATGGGGCCACGAACCGTGTGAGGGGTGCGCCAAAATGAGGCGGGGCCGCCATGCGAACCCTGCCACTGGGGCCTTCGGTGGAGCTCCCTATGGGGCCACGAACCGTGTGAGGGGTGCGCCAAAATGAGGCGGGGCCGCCATGCGAACCCTGCCACTGAGGGGGCCTTCGGTGGAGCTGCCAAGTTCCCTGTGGGGCCACGAACCGTGTGAGGGGTGCGCCAAAATGGGCGGGGCCGCCATGCGAACCCTGCCACTGGGGCCTTCGGTGGAGCTCCCTATGGGGCAACGAACCGTGTGAGGGGTGCGCCACAATGAGGCGGGGCCGCCATGCGAACCCTGCCACTGGGGCCTTCGGTGGAGCTCCCTATGGGGCCACGAACCGTGTGAGGGGTGCGCCAAAATGAGGCGGGGCCGCCATGCGAACCCTGCCACTGGGGCCTTCGGTGGAGCTCCCTATGGGGCCACGAACCGTGTGAGGGGTGCGCCAAAATGAGGCGGGGCCGCCATGCGAACCCTGCCACTGAAGCCTTTAGTGGAGCTCCCTATGGGGCCACGAACCGTGTGAGGGGTGCGCCAAAATGGGGCGGGGCCGCCATGCGAACCCTGCCACTGGGGCCTTCGGTGGAGCTCCCTATGGGGCCACGATCCGTGTGAGGGGTGCGCCAAAATGAGGCGGGGCCGCCATGCGAACCCTGCCACTGGGGCCTTCGGTGGAGCTCCCTATGGGGCCACGAACCGTGTGAGGGGTGCGCGAAAATGAGGCGGGGCCGCCATGCGAACCCCCTGCCACTGGGGCCTTCGGTGGAGCTCCCTATGGGGTCACGAACCGTGTGAGGGGTGCGCCAAAATGGGGCGGGGCCGCCATGCGAACCCTGCCACTGGGGCCTTCGGTGGAGCTCCCTATGGGGCCACGAACCGTGTCAGGGGTGGGAGGGGGAGGAGGGGGGGAGGAGGAAGGAGGAAGGAAGGAACGCGGGGCACCGTCTCTTCAAAACGAAGACCCAACACCACAGGATGGTTGGGAAAAAGACGTCCCAAGCGAAACGCTCGACCCGCCCTTCCGGCTGGCCTGGGGGTGCGACAGGGAGGAATTTTTCTATGGGGAAGGAATGGATGAGGAGGAGCAGGAGAACCAGGAGGAGCAGGGGGAGGAGGAGGAGGAGGAGGAGGAGGAGGAGGAGGAGGAGGAGGAGGAGGAGGAGGAGGAGGAGGAGGAGGAGGAGGAGGAGGAGGAGGAGGAGGAGGAGGAGGGGAGGGGAGGGAGGAGGGGCCTCAGCCTGACACTCCTGGCTTGGAGACCCGAGGGGCGGGACCACTCCGGGCGCTGGCGCCCCGAAGAGCGGGCCCCTCCCCGCGGGCCTCGCCCTCGGGCCCGGCGGGCCCCGCGGGGCGAGGCCCGCCGCCGAGGGCCGGCGCCCCGAGGAGCGGGGCCAGACCAGCAGTGCGCAGGCACCGCGCGGAGGGAGAGGCCGCCCCGCGAGCGGGGGCCCGATGCAAACGAGGCCCCCGTGGTAATGGCCACGAAGGGTCGGGGGCCGAGGCCTGGCGACCGTGGCAAACGAGGCCCCCGAGGAGGAGGAGGAGGAGGAGGAGGAGGACGAAGTGGGCCATTACCACCCCGAGGCAGGGAACCGAGCTCTATGCACCGACGCCTCTGTCTTGCCTCACGCCGAGTCTCGCACAGGAGAGCGGATCCTGGTGTATACGGGATCCTGGTGTACATGTTCTGCGTTGTTTCCCCCGGAAAAGGGGGAAAAAACGTATACACCACACCACCCCGACGTCGTCCCCGACCCTCAAAAAGGTCCTGGGATTGAAAAACCGCCCGCCACTGGTAATGTATATGCTCAAGTTTCCGACGAGGGGCGGGGCCATGCCAGCAGCGACAAAAAGTGGCGTGCCCCCCCGCCGCGCCAGGGTATCCCAGGTAGACTCATGTCTTGGGGGGTGCCTCTGGTTCATGGCCAACTTGCGATTGCAGCTTGCTGGGCCGCTCTCCCTCTTGCCTCCTCCGGCTGGACCGGGCACTCTTCCTTGACCCCGCGTGCTCTGCCACCGCTGCTACAACACTTAGCGCGCTTCTTGCAGATCGTGATCTGGCCGAAGACCACTGGCGCATGCCCACATTCACGGGACTGTCTGGTCGCGCCTGGTACGGACGGCGTGCCATGTCCTTCACCTCCGACGGTTGTAGACTTACGGGCACAAGCTCGGGATATCCCAGAAGAAACAGTCCGCGGACCAACTTAACACCGTCGTCGGCTCGCACCTTGATTATCATGCTGCGGAGCGCTTGATCTGGCCGCGCGGCTGCATTTCAATTCTGACTCCTCCAGTATCTCAGCGCCTGGGGATCGGGCTCGTGCCAGAACT